AAAATAAGAGAACACACACATGCAAGGAGCATGCAGTCCAAGAAACATTACCTCTCTGTCCCGCACCCACCACGGATAATTATGTTGCTGAATAAGGTGTTAATTGTGTCTTTTTTTGTCTTCCTAGCTTTATTATGTATGTACCCTAAGCAGTATAGTTTAGTTCTGTTTGTTTTTCAACTTCATCTGGAATCACACTGAGTGTACTTTGTGTCTTGCTTTTCTTATAGTTCATTTTCACTGCAATAGAGAAACAGCCTAACGCATGAAAACACCTAGATTTATTTATCTATTCTATTGTTAGTTGATATCCGGTTGTTTCTATTTTTTTCTATCATGAACAAAGCTGCCAGGGAAAGTCTTATAGGAACAGCTAGTCTTTTAATATGCTCCTCCTCAACAAGTCCTCACTCTAAACTCGGGGGTACAGGTTTCACCTCGGCTAAAAACACAGGAAGGTAAACCCAGACTATAGCTGAGTACTGGGAGTCCTCTGCAACCAAAAGATGATGTGATTCTCAGGATCCCTCCACTCCTTGCCCTGCCCTCACTCACACAAACACCTTCTCCTCCTCTGAACCTGAGATTCCACACCCCTGCTCTACATCAGAAAACAATTGGCCCTTTTAGACAGAGTCTGGATTTGAGTCATGCCCCTCTCCCTAGTATCTCCCCCACTTTTTCCCAGGTAAGTGGGAACAGAGATCTCAGTGAAAGGGCTCCATTGATAGGCCATGGGCATGAGAGCGTGAGAGCTGGAGCAACAGGACGTGATCCAGGCTCTGCCCTGCCTGATGGCCAGAAGCAGCACTAAGATGCTAGCCATCTGGCCCCTGGGTCCTCACATTTACCACATGGCTGCAGGGGGAAGAAAGGTAACCTGCCCATGGTCAGGGCCAAACTTTTTTCCATGTTACATATATTGTTCCACTTAAGGCTCACATAATTTCAAAGGTGGAAAATAATAGAAAATGACTAACACTTATTGAATACATACTGTATGCCAGCTGCTGTGCTGAGTGCTTTACATACCTTCTCTCAATGGGTCATAACCCATGACAGTGGTGATGAAATTAATTTCGGAGGTTAAGACCAGAATTAAAAAAAGGGAAACACGCAAGACTGTAATTAAGTTAGAAGACTAGTGTTCCACAAAGTAAGGGTAGGATTGCTTTGCGAACATTTTGTTTCCCTTATATCTATGTGTATTTATTCATAGGTACTGGGTCACAATGTAAAATGTATTTCTCACTGTGGGCAGAGGCTAAAAAATTGTGTTACCTTATCTCATTATTTCATAACCAGCCTAAGGTATGTTCAGTTTCTAACCTAATTTAACAAGAAAATAACTGAAGTTACTCCACCAAATTCATCTGTGCCATACACCATAGCCACCAACTGCCCCTCCAAGCTCCCAACAGAAAGCCTAACATCTAGCACAGTACCTAGCACGTAGCAGGCACTACATCTTTGTTAAACGAATACAGAAACTTCCTAAGTCCTCAGAGTTAATGAGTGGCAAAGCCAGGTTTCCAGTGCAGCTATGTCTGTCCTGAGGCTTGCTGTTGACCACTGCACTACATTAAAACTCGAACAGCACGACATTGCCTCAGGCCACACCACTAGTAAGTGTTAGCACTCGGGCAAGACCCAAGCATTTCAAACTCTGATGTCCATGCTCTTTCATGTCAGTGGGATGGGGAGCAGCCTCTCATGGTCGGCTGAGATTTAGAGGGGATAAATAAGAAGACTACGAAACCTCCAGGCTAGAAGAAAAATTTGCCAATGACCAGAGAAATACCAACAGAAATCAGGAAAGTGGCCAGCTCAGAAATGGATGGTGGTGGGGGGTAGTGGGGTCCCAGGAAGGAAGTCTGTAAACACAGCAGAAAAACTCAAGGAGCAATTGTGCAGGGGGCTCACAGGGCTGACGCTGTAGGAAACCACACATTATGGCCCCTTCAGGCAGTGTTAAGACTTGGTGACTAAGATTGGAGATGCAGGGCTGAAAAAGCACAGGCACAGGGGTCAAAGGAGCCGGCCACAGGAATATTTTGGCAAATACGTTGGCAATGCTGCCACCTTGTGGCTGTGGAATGCTTGGCCCATAGGAAAAAATAAGACGGTCAGCTTGTGGTTTTATTCTTTAGTAGGCATCTACTGAGCACCTAATATGGGTCTGGCTGCTGGTGACTGGAAATGGGTCTCACATGGCTCCAACTTTCAATGACCTCTGTTCCTTACATCCAGGCAGTGACCAAATCCACTGAGTTTACTTCCCTCTTTTCATAATAACAAAACTGTGAGGGCATAGATGGCGTCTTATTCATCTCTGAAGCTGCAGTACTCAGCAGAGGGCCCAGCACATCACAATAAGAATGGCGGCTACTCATGGGGAAGATGGTTAAAAATGTTGTAATAAATATGTAAGGGACAAGAGAGGGTGCTAGATTTAGTGGGGTGATCACTTTGCGAGTTATGTGGATCTCTGATCACTATGCTATACAACTGAAACTGGTATATTATTGTATACCAAATATAATTGAAAAAAAACCCTCATTGAATTGTACAATGTAAATACAGGCAACTAACTGTCTATTACATTTCAATAAAGACGAAGAAAAATGAAAAAAAAAAAAGAATGGCAGTTACTATTTAATACGTGGTAAGTACTTTTAAATATGTAAGTGCGTAGATTCTCAGTTTACCTATGAGACTTCCAGATGTCAGTAGGTATTTATTTCAATATGAGCCTAGAGTTCTTAGAAAAGTAGGGATGGAGAAATAAACAAGGGCATCACCCACACATAGATGGCTCTCAAAGTTTAATGTGCATGACTTGGCTAGGAATTTTGCTAAAACTAAGATGCTGATTCTGAGGTCTACGGTGGGGCCTGAGATTCTGCATGTCTAACAAGCTCCCAGGTGATACCAATACTGCTGGTCCACACTTCTGAGAGGGAAAAATATGAATCAGGGGTTGATAAACTTGCCAGAAGGTCAAATCTGCCCCACAGCCTGTTTTTGTATATCCTGCAAACTAGGTATTTTTCATTTTTAAAGGGGCGTAAAAAAAGAAAAGGAATATGTGACAGAAACTATGTGTGGCTCCTGAAACTTAAAATATTTACTCTCTGGTCCTTTCTAGAAACAGTCTGCCAACTCCTCATCTAGAAGATCATCAAAGGACAGGATGTATAGCTAATCATGAGAGAGATGAGAACGGAGCTCTGAAGCAAAATGTTATGACTTCTAAATTACCAGGCCTCGTTTGGGTAGGAAAAATAAAAGTATAATGAAACGTATGTCAACACTTATGCTAAGAAGACAGCTCTGGATAAGATGAGGTAACATCTGAGGCACCTAGGTGAGAGAGTGAGTTGTACTACGAAAAAGGTAGACATTTGGGGTTCTGAATGGGGAAGAGGACCTGTGGTGAGATGATAACCAACTAGCTCTTTCAGTGCTTAGAAAAAAATGACAACTAGAAAGACAGGGAGGGCCACCACCACTTGTGTGCAGTATCACAGAAGTACTGGAAAAATAAAATGAAAAGAGTGAATTCTACAGGGTTGCTCTGTGTAACAGAACCTTATGAATTTTGGATGAGGGTGGGGAGGGTGGAGAGAGGGATGGGGGGAGGTGAAAGAAAGGGGTGGCAGCAGAATAATGGCCCCAGAGTCTGTCATCTGGAGACTGCCCCAAGTGCTGTTTGGCTACAGAGCCTTCTGTCACCCTTCTGCCATCCTATGTTGAAGGATACATTTGCTTAAATGTCAACGCCTCAGAAAGTAAATACAGCTGTCCATTTCTGTCGACCTGAACCAATCAATCTGGCTCTCTTTCAATGGAGGACAAGGCTGTTTTACTTGCAATTGTGCAAGGTTTGCCTGCCTCACATCAAGTGTTCACATATATTTCCAAAAGACAACAATAGCACCCTTTCTTGGCGGTACGGAAAAGACTAAATCTATGAGAAAGGCTGTGGCAGGATATCCACAAAGCCAAAGTGTTCTTAAATGCCAGAGAGCAAATAAAAAGACAGAAGGATATGTGCTGCAAAGCAGATGCCAGAATTTCTTGGTCAGAAGGAACCTTCAAGGTCAACCAGTCTCCTTCAAGCTTCTTACTAAATCTGCCTACTAAATCTAACCATCTAAAGGAAGAAAGCTCACATCATGCCTGACTTTTAGCATGAAATACTCTTCTTCCTCTTTTTAATAAGTTAAAAAAATACTTGCAAACAAAAACAAATCTCTACCTTTTAACCCACGAGTTCCTGCCCTTCTCAAGTCCGTCCCCCTCGATCACAGTGTCTACCCTACTGGAAAGTAAGTTCTTTCAGGGAAGAAACTGATTCTTGCAGCACCCAGCACTGCTCATTTCACTGCAGTGTGGGGAGCAAGTCCTCATCTACCGAAAGATCTCAGTGTTCCTGCCACCTATGAGCTGTGTGATCTTGGCCAAGTTACTTAACCTTTCAAAACCTCAGTTCCCTCACCTGTAAAGTCCTATCACGACAGGCTGTTTTGAGGATAAAACACAATAATACATGTAGAATACTTGGAATGGCAGCTAGCACAATAATAAGTTTAGAAAGTATTGACAATCATTCAGTTAGTAAACGAACCTGTTCTCTCCCATGAATCACAGTCCCTTTTCAAAACATACTACACCAGAGCAGTTTCTCAACCTTGGCACTACTAACATTTCTTGTTGTGGGGGCTCATGCTGTGGTTCACAGGATATTTAGCTGCATCCCTGGCCTCTACCCTCCAAGTACCAGCAACAACCCCACCTTCACAGTTATGACAACCAAAAATTGTCTTCTGAGATTGCCAAATGTTTTCTGGGAGGGCAAAATCCCCTCTTCTTCCACTGAGAACTATGAATATGCACTAAACTATGTAAGTCACTTATGAAGTAGCCATCACACACTCTAAATTCCCACCATCCCCCTCTCCCCCCACATGCAGCCACTTTAGCCATCACTTGCTCACCACTCAGTTGCCTTGGAGGGAACATGTGATAGGTGCTGTAGATATCATTGGAGAACTGTAACTGGAGCTCAGGGCTACCCATCAGGAGCTGGGTCACATGGTCCACCTGAAATGGTGTCTTCTCCAGGATCACAATGGCGTCCTCTCCATCCCCATCTCCAGAGGATTCATTTACCTATTGGGCAGAGACAACATCGGTGGGCCCAGGGGCAGAGCCACAGGTGAGGTCTGGAGAATAGAGGCAGAAGCTCCTGGGGCTTGGGAATTCCCAACATTTGGGATTTCCTTCCCTGTCGTTTCCCTCTGGCCAAGTCCAGGCAATAGCACTCATGCAGAGGGGGCATCTCATTAATCCAAATCCTTGGGGCAGTCTCGCATCTTTCTCCTAAAAGATGTAAAGCTTCTCAGCTGTTTTCTGTTTTAGACTCACCAGGCTTCTGTCATATTCTCCCCATTTTACAGATGAAAAAGGTCTAGAGAAATTAAGTGACTTGCCCAAGGTCACAGGAACAGTCACTGTTGAAACAGAAACCAGAAGCTGGGCATCCCAATTCCTACCTCAAAGGTTCTCACTGCTAAAATCTTCAGCAGGTGCTGCAAACTGAAGACAGGTGAGGCTGAAAAACCTGACAGAAGCTTGTGAAAGACAAGAAACAGAGAAGGAAGCCTAGGCCCCAGTCCCCCAATCCTCCCAAAATTATAGCTCTTGCTAGGAGTTCTGGGGAACCCTAACACCTTCCCTTAGCTAGGTGTCCTCACCAGTTCCCGGGACGGTCTTCAGGCTCTCCTCAGCCGCTGCTAGAGAGCTGAGCACATGGTATTTTAGCTAGCTATGTGTATCTGTCTACCCCAAGATACTCTGCACTCCTGAAAATCAGGGATGGTAACTTCATCTCTACATCCCCAGTACCTAGGTTCAGTGTTGGCCTGTCAGTGCATGGTATATGGAATTGAACCGTCTCCTCTGTTAAGGCTGGAATCCTGTACAGCAGGGATCATATTTCCTAGAGTCTCTTGTCGTTTCCAGCGGCACGGATAAACAAGACAGTCCGGCATCATTTAATGGATTCCTTGCACCTTTACAGGCTGAATGAATAAATGAATGGCTTGGAGAATTTAACATGTGCTTTTTAATTTGCAATACACTCTACAATTCTTTGTGGTTATTTTTAGCAAAAAGGAATTAGAAAAATCATCCGCACGTGTGTTAATTTCCTTAATTTCACGGGTGACCATGTTTCCCCCACGCCCTCTGCCCCCAAACATTCTAGAGGTGTGCCCTCCCCACCACTCCCCAGTAATGCGATTGGTACTTCCTGGCCGAGCGCCGACGAGATGCGCCTCCTCGGCAGTGAATGGCCACCCATCCGCGTACCAGCCCAGGGCTGCTTAAGGTACCTTCCCGTGTAAGAACAGGATCTTGTCCCGCGCGGACTCCCTCAGCACTTTTTTCACTCTAAAGCCGGAAAAAGGAAAGCGGACAGGGGCAGAGGTGCCATTCCCAATGCCAGTTTCCTTGGCTTCATGATCCTCTGTGATCGCGGCTTCCGTCCCCGCAGCTTTCAGTTCGCGCTTTCTCTTGCTGGGCGGAGGCATCGCATCCGCCATATTGCCCACAGGAGTATGCGCTTGCGCAGACCTCGGATGCGCCCCGCCCGCCTGCGCGGCTGGCCGCTACTACAACTCCCGACGTGCTCCGCGTCGAGGCTTCCGGGCTCTGACCCCCTGCGACCTGTCCCGATGAGCATTTTTCATGCAAGTTACTGCAGTAGCTCTCTCGTGTTGGTCAGCCCGCGTTGAGGCCGGCGCTGAGGGAAGAGAAAAGAAGGCAGCGAGCCCCTAAACAGGCTAACTAGCGGTGCAGCGGTGGGGAGGCCACCTCAGCCGACTCTGAAGGCTTTAACACCTTGTTTGAATACGGACATTTTAACAAGAATTATACCAACACTGATTAGTTAGCGTGGAAGGAATGCTTCTGAAACTAATCTGTTGAGGAGATCTTATTTCTTGAT